ATAATTATATATAATATATTATTATATTACATATTAATTATATATAATATAATAATATATAAATAATTTTATAGGCCATTGTTGATATTAATAAATTCTATTTTTCATCTGGAATCTTTGCTTTATTTATTTTGTTGCACAGCATCCATCTAATTGGAATTTCTTTTGTTTATTTATTTGTTATTTTCTCTGTTTTGAGAAACTTTTTAAAAAGTTTTTTTTAATTTCCTTTTTCTCTTTCTATGTATGTATGTATGTATGTTTGTAACATTTCTACAGTTATTCCAGAGATAGATACTGAGATGTTGGGTTTTCTTGAAATCTCTCACAATTCCATGGTGCTAGAAGCCAGTCATTATAACTTCTCAGCTTTTCCTGTTTATGGGTTTCTAGCTAGATGGATCACTTTCTAGCTGTGTTTGCAGCTTTAAGATAGAAATCATTCATCCAAACAATGTTCCTCCTTAGAACATATAACAACTTTCATGTTCTTAGGGAAGTAAATGTCCATCAAGTAAAGACAGAGGACTGAGGCAGACAGAGAGATCATGATTTTGTTGAGGTCACACAGTCAGTATAAAATTTAGAAGAGAACATTTTCTATAACCAAGTTCTTTTCAGGTACTTCTGTCACATTTGCCCTTTCATCAAGTGAAACACTTTCAGCAATGTGAATCATTATTAGGTCAAACACAATAACAAATTTCAGTGATGACTAAGGTTAAAATTTGTTTAACAAATTCTCAATTATGATTACTTCTTCATAGTCACAAAGCTTTTTAACCAAAGTCAGGGTTCTTTCATGTACTGCCACCTTTCTATCACACAGCACACACATTTAGCCTATACCTAGCTGTACATGTAGTCTATACTTTTCAATGATTCATGTTCATAACTCTGTTTACTTGGTATTGCCTGATAAAATGTACCTGTTTTCTTGCTACTTTCAAAAGCAGCTTCACAATCAAGGTCCTGCATTAGGACAGCATGTTTTAAAATGCAGGCTCCAGGACCATATGGCACTTAAAACTGAAGCCCATTTGTATTTCTTCTATGGTTTTTCCCTTCACCACTAAATTCAACACTATACCTAGCAGGTCTTGACATAGATGTTTTGGCTAAAAATTGACATTACTGTGAATGAGCCAAACTTAGGATTTATTCATTCAGTTAAATGGCAATTAAGGGTTGGTGGGTCACATATTTCATGTGTTATTTTTTTAATGGAAAAAGAGGTTGAAGGAATCATATTTGATTTTCAAAAAAATGTCTTTGTTTTTAATGTTTATAATGACATGAAATTCAAAGGGACAATTTGGATAACAGAAATAGCATATGTTGTGAAATGTTGCCTTCCTTTTAAAACAAGGCTTCCAAGTTTAATAAGGTGATTCTAAGTTATCAGAAAGGGCATTTGAAAAAAAGTATGCTTCTAAATCTGACAACATCCCATTTAACCTGATTGCTCTTCAGTAGGTCTGTCTGATTCACAAATGCTTGCTCACTGATTGATTGATTCAATATGAAAAGGGAACAAAAAAAAAAGAGTACACAATTTCAAATCAAGCCTCAGGGCATCTCTGCCATAATTCTACTTCTAGGAGTCTGATGCACTGTATTAAGAAGCTTATTTAGATTTTGCTCATGAAAATGCCAGATGTCATGATCTGATCTTACAGTACCTTACAGAGGGGGCAGCCTGGTAACACAGTGGAATTAGTCCTGCCTGGGGAATGAAAGAACCTGGGTTCAAATGCCCCCTTAATGCTGAGTCCCTATATCCCATAGACAAGTCACTTCAGTTTCCTCATCTGTTAAATTAGGCATTTGAACTAGATGTTTTCTGGGGTACCTTTCAACTGTAGATCCTATGGTCTAGTTATATGCCTTCCTAAGGACAGATAAAAGGTTTTGGTTCAAAATCTAATTTGGGTGAGGTGATCTGGACTTGATTTTTTTTTTTGGCTAGGCAATGGGGTTAAGTGACTTGCCCAGGGTCACACCGCTAGTAAGTGTTATGTGTCCGAGGCCAGATTTGAACTCAGGTCCTCCTGACTCCAGGGTTGGTACTCTATCCACTGTGCCACCTAGCTGCCCCATGGACTTGTGATTTCAATGGTTTAGGAGCTTCTGTTAAGGAAGCATCTTCGTCCAATGCAGAAACTTCTTCCTCCAATGCAGATCAGCCACTGGTTTGTAGCCTGTGGTCTTAAAGAATTGTCCGTGTCATTGAGACATTATGTGTTCTTTTTTGTCCTTCATTCTTGAAGAGGACCATGACATCAGGAAGTTGATGCCATGACTTGCAAATGAATTGGATTTAAGTGAGGGAGGGCTATGCAAGGTCACCAGCCTCACTTTCTCCTCTGGAGCCATCCGAGTCCAGTGGCCAGATATAGATCAGGACACTAGAGATAGCTCCCAAATAGGAGTGCTATTGGGAGAGGTTACATGATTTGCCCAGGGCCACAGAGCCAATAATTGTCAGAAGGGGGCCTTGATCCCAGTTCTTCCTGACTCCCAGGCTTTCTCTCCACTATGCCACATTGCCTTTCATATCTAATCTAATATCCCATTAAAATAGGTCATTTGTATTCTTTACATTTGTCAACTTTCTTCAGCACTGTTTGTCTTTAAAAATATTTGGGAACTACCATAGATCTTGAAGATCAATCTGTCAATTACGTCTGAAAAATAGTGCCTGATGGGAGGCACTGGGAGTCACTGGAATAGCAGAGTATCTGTGTTGGAATCTTGCAATGTTAAGACAAATTACTTAATCTCCCAGGATTCTACTATCTTCATCTGTAAAATGAGGGGATTGAATTAGATGACTAAAATCCTTCCCAGCTCTGATACATTGTGATTCTGGTCCTCCTTTGTCTCCCCTTCTCTAAGGTAAGTCCCTACAGACTTTCATTTTCATTTGTATTTGTAGTACAGTGTCTGGTAGTAGGCATTAATAACTCATTGAGTTTAAAATGCCTAATTTTCATTTCACAGAGAAACCTAGTGAGTGAGATTTTATAAATGTTACAATACAGAAACATCTCCACTTATGGCTATGGCTGATTACTCATAAAGCTTTCTCGTGGGCTTAGTTTAAGTTTTACAGCTCCCTGCCCACTTGCTACATAGGTATGAGAAGTTGAGAAAGTAATATTAACTCATGCATTTCACAATGAGCCCCTTTTCTATCCCTATGTTGTTGTTCAGTCATGTCTGACTCTTTATCATCCTGGTCCTTGGAGTGTTCTTGGCAAAGATGCTGGAGTGGTTTGCCATTTCCTTCTCCAGGGGATTAAGGCAAACAGAAATGAAGTGACTTGCCCAGGGTCACACAGCTAGTAAGTATCTGAGGTCAAATTTGAACTCAAGTCTTCCTGACTCCACGCCTAGCTCTCTATCTACTGAGCTACCTAGCTGCCTCTTCTATTCCTATAAAATGGGATAATTTATTTACATCATTTGAAGTACTCTACCAACCAGCAGACTCCACCCCATTCCAAAAATTCCAGTATAAACTACATAACTTTAATCAGATCTGAAGGCAGCTCCTCTTTATCACTCCTTATATGGAAATTAATGAATAGATTTCCTTCATAATGTTTTGTTTTAATGAAAAAGTAGAAAAGCTAACTAGAGTTTGTGCAGGCTGCTCTAGGAGAAGAGATGTATCCTTGGATAATGCTGTTCAGGACCTTATTGTTGTAAATATTATCAGTTACTTTCTTAAATATATTCTCAAGGTTGAGTCAGGAACATGAAGGTTAAATAACTTTCTGGAGTGGGTCTGATAATCATTCTAGCCTTCACCAAACCACACCTACCAATAATACTACCTTACATGCACAGAGTGACCTCAGTTTTTGAAGCACCTTCATAGACATCAGAATCCAACAAAGGAAGAGTAGGCATTATTCTTTCTGTTATATAGATAAGCAAAGTGAAGAAAAAGAATGGTGGGACTTGACTGTCTTGTAGCTGGGCAGAGCTGGCATCTTGGCACTTAAGCCAGTTCTTTTTCTGTTGGACAAGCACTGCCTTTGCTGAAGTTGTATCGGGGAAAGGACATCTTTTCTCATGATGTCTCTCTCTCTCTCTCTCTCTCTCTCTCTCTCTCTCTCTCTCTCACACACACACACACACACACACACACACACACACACACACACACACACCCCTTTCATATGTATTAAGACAATCCCTGAGTGCTTTTCTTTGGTCCAGACTTTCAAGTTGACCAGAGTAGAGAACTCCTGGCATAAACACTCCTTCCCCCTATGCAGATTGGTAAACTTCTTTATAATTTATAGTTTTGGAAAGTGGCCTGGGGCACTGCTTCAGTGTCTTGCTTCGGTCACAATGTGATAGCCAGTGGACGTCACAATCAGGACATGAACTCAGGTCTTCATGACTCCAAGGTCAGGGCATCCATGCACTTTCACACATTCCTCCTCATCCTCTATCTTAGCAAAAATACATAGTACAAAAGTATCCCTCAGAGAACTTAGACTCCTAGCACTAACCACAGAATAAACAAGGACTCTGATTAGCTGGTCTCCATGCACATTTTTCATTTTCATCCTCTTTGTTAATGCATTTCTCACTCTACAAAATAGATCCTTGTATTTTGCAACTACCATGCCTTCCTAAAATTCTATATCTGTGTTTTTGAATATCCCTATTGCCACAGGGCATAAGAACTCTACATTACTTCATGTAAGGCACCTAGGTGGCACAGGGGGACAGAGTGCTGGGCCTGGAGTGGGGAAGACCAAAGTCCAGATCAAGCCTCAGACATTTTCTGTGTTTCCCTGGGCAAGTCACTTAACTGCTGTTTGCCTCAGTTTTCTCAACTATAAAATGGGGGTAATAAGAGCACCTATCTCCTAGGACTGTTGTGAGGATTAAATGAAATAATATTTGTAAAGCGCTTAGCACAGCCTGGCACAATGTAGGCATTTAGTAAATGCTTATTCCCTTCCTCTCCCACCCTGCTTCACCAAACTGGACAAATTAATCAAACAATCAACATATATTTATTTACCATCTACTATGTGTCAGGCTCAATGTATAGATGTTGGGAAATGAAGACAAAATGAAATCGTCTCTGCCCTTAAAGAAGCTTGCATGGTGTTGAATGCAAAGGTGAAAAGAGGAGGCAAGTGAAGATTCCTGAAGATGTTGATATTCATGTCTGTTCAGCACTCACCCGCCTACCTCCTTGGTGTCCTACTTCTGTACCTCCTGGGAATCATTCTGTGACACCAGTTGGGATAGTGGGGAAAGCTCTGGACTGTCCTTTGTGCCAGGGTTCTGGTCCCTTCTCTGCCTCTGCCTCATTGTGTTTCCTCTCTCTGAACTACTCATCTGTAAAATGGACTGGATGGCCAGAGAGGTCCCTTCCCGCTCTACAGCTCCTTAATTCAATCAGGTTTGATGCCTGATCAATCCACGATGGCCTCATAGGATCTGTCTTGAGGGTAATGTCCGAAGGTTCTAAGTAACAGAAGGAGGTGGAAGGGACTGTGGTAAACATCTGTGCTTGTTCTGTCCCATAGTGAGGCAGAAGAGGTTCTTCTGAAGATTCTCTTCATTTAATAAGGAAGTCATGGCCAGAAAGTAAATGTAAACAAAAGGGCAGAGGCCTATAGATAGCGGATCATTTTAGGCTCCTTTGAAGTTAGTATAGATGGCAAACATATTTGTGCCAGGGGTCACCAACAGGTTCATCACAACCTACCAAGCTTAAGCCTTTTAAGGGCTGCCAGCCCTGCTTTCACTTCATGGGGACACCCAGTGGAGAGGGGAAGGTGGTCAACAGCTTCTTCCCTAAGTAATCATGCCTGTTAAATTCAGTAGCCTTTGCCTTTCCACCCTCAGGTAATCCTAAGACTTTGGGGAAATCAAGATTAGATCCTCATCAGGAAAGGGTTGGGGACCTGATAGCTATACCCTAGTTTCTTATGACCTTATGCCATTTCCCTTGAATCTCCCAGTGTGTGAAATCCAAGGATGAATTGCTCTTCAACAACACAGGATGAAAAGAGGGCACTTGATACTCAGACAAAAGGATCATGAGAAGGATGCTGGCTTGGGGACATGTAGATGTATGGGCTATGTAAGTCACACAACACAAACACCCAAACATTCAGGACATGGAAGTCTTTCCCAACATCCATAAGTGCAAAATGCCAGTGGAACAGAATTGCTGGAATCAGGCATGCTATTTTCAGGAGACTATGAGACCAGAGATGCCAGGCTGGCAGCTGGAGACTCATCCTTGGGCAGAACCCATCTCCTCTTAGGGTCTACGTTTTCCCATGCTAGATCTCAGCATCAATATCCCTTCGACAGACTCCCCAGGGTTGTTTGCCATCTTCTGCCAGAGGTGCTGTTCTTCGCCCTGAGAATCCATCCAATCCACCTCTTTTCCATGACTCTTACCTGAAAAAAGGAAGAGGGTCAACTTCCACAGTGTGCCAGTGGGTAACTTAGCAGTCAGTCTAAAGGTCTAACTGCCAGAATACAATGGTCTTCTTTTAATACCACTTTTAATATCTCAGCTATTTTACCAAATTGGTATAATTTTCAGAGGACAAAAAAGGTCTTTCCTTAGCAAGATTTACAATTTGTGCTCTAGATCATCTCTCTAAAAGGACAATGGGCTGTAGAACTGGAGGCAGGTGAAGCTTCTATTCAATACCTGCATATTCTTAGTTCTTACTTTTTGGGGTATGACCTATATTCAGATTTGGCAATAACACAGTTATAAGACACACAGACAACTCATGAAGATTCCTCCATTTGTGTTCAAGGCCATTTCTCTCAAAGGATCATGGCTAGAGAATTAGAGAGGACCATAAGGACTTATCGAGTCTAACATCCTCATTTTATAAATGAGAAGACTGGGCTACTGAGAGGTAAAGTGACTTATCCAAGGTCATGTAGGTAGTGTGAAATGTGGGATTCAAATCCAAGACTTCTGATTAAAATGGGAGATTGTGACCCAACCAGTCATATATAATCAGTAAGCTGCAGAGGTGGCACTCAAACCTGTCTAAATCTTAAATGACTCAATTCAGCCCTCTTACTGTTGGTACCACACAGCCCAAAAAATATACATATAGAGACAAGGAAGAAATATCTAGCAATGCTTTCCTAATTTGTCATGCTCCCCTCCCCCCCACCTCTACTCCTCATCACCATCTCTTCCCCTGACCTCTTGCTCCTACTCTTCTTCACATTCTCTCTCTGATTGATAGCGTATGTAGCTCAGCTAGAAGCAATACTAGGCTTTCTTCCCATACATACCATGGTTGCTTCAGCTCGGATGGAGTCAGTCAACATCTTCTTGCCATTCTCCTTAGCATGACCATGGGTGGAATCATCCTGGGCCAGTTTTTAGTACATGGTCCCACCTAAGCTCCCCTGTCACCCTTCCTGTTCTTACATCTTCTCTCTAACTATGCTGACCTAAGGGACCTTTCAACATTAGCAGGCAAAGACAAGATTTTCATTTAGAGAATTTGGAGGGAGCTTTCTTAAAATCCTGAAAACCACAGAACTGGCAACCATTCCACCATCCTATACCAACTCAGGGAGCAGAATAAGGAAACTGGCCATTCTTAACCAGTCACTTACCACTGCCAGAGTTCAATCGAACTCCTCCAAGAAATATGTTACTGGAGAGAGCCTCTTTGTCCCAGACTGTCAATTCTAGACAAACATTCTTTATATCCTGGGGACCCAGGCCACTGAACAGGAAGGTATGATTCCACTGGGGATTAACATTCTTTTTGATTACAGGAGTTTTGTGCTTGGTGGCTTTGGTGTTATCAGGAAGCAGGTACCTGGAGGAGAAAAAACAAATTGCAAAATTAACCAGATGAGAGAAGATTCTATATGTCTTTAGTCATTTGGAATTCCCATACTAATTGTCTTTTCCATGTTTGTTCTTCCCTGCTCTGACTCTGACCTAGCTTTTGGTTTCCAAATGCCTAGTTCAGTTTGGGTTTTAATTGGCGGAATGGCTTATTTCTTGGAGATAGAGAGGTAGGTAGTAAATGTCTTCTTTTTCCCTTTCCAACCCTGTTCCCATCCATTCCTTCCATCAAGAATGGAAACACTGGTGATTAAACTTGTGGAGAAAGTTAGGTTGTACCAGATTTTATTTTGCGTATCTCTAATACGTCCCACAAAAAAAGGTTATGCTCTCTCTCTTTTCTTCTTTTTATCTAAAGCCCAAGATTCTTTTAAAATTAGCTTAACTTCGAAGACTAATTAGTTACAAAAAACTTATTGGCTCTTTTTTTCAGAGCAACAATAATTTCTTTTATTATTTACGTAACACAAATTTTAAAAATAATAATAAAATTTATATGCTGCAGGAGATGTTTAGGTCCTTTCTATAATGTCCCAATGGGAAACATTCCCTCTCCCTTCCTCTACCAGAGTAAAAAGCTCAGGTTTAATGGGACGAGTGGAGTGATTCTTGAATTAACCTTTCTTACCTATCAGACTGTGCCCTTTATATTTATAAACAATTGATCAAGCTAAAGGGAGGTCACCTCCCAAGGGAGGATATAGGCATGCTGACTGAATGAATTGAATAAAACATATATTAAGCACTTACCCTGTATGATTGTTACTTAGCCCTGCCCAACTCTTTGTGACCCTATTTGGGGTTTCCTTGGCAAAGATACTGGAGTGGTTTGCCATTTCCTTCTCCAATTCATTTTACTAATGAGGAAACTGAGGCAAACAGGGTTAAATGACTTGCCCAGGGTCATACCTTTAGTAAATGTCTGAGGCTGGATTTGAATTCAAGGAAGATAAGTCTTCCTGACTGCAAGCCCAGCACTCTGTCTCCGGAGCTACCTACCTGCCCATACTTTGTACAAGTACTATGCTAAGTACTGGGGTTACAAAAAGAAAAGTAAGATAGTAAAAGAAAGTAAAATTGAAATGGAGGAGACAACACACATGGAAGGTTTCAGCAGCAAGTCAGATAGAAAAGTTCCATGATTGTTAGGGTACAGCAGCAAAGTACATGTTAATATCTCTTCTTTAACGTCCTGATACTGGAAGACTTGTTGACTGCATTCTCACCAGTGAGGATCAGGGACTGGGAATAATGTGATTGGTTCTGCTACCTCTTTGTGTTGTGATTCAGGTTCTAATATTTATGGTGGTTATTTTATTTTATTTGCGGGGGGGCACAGAAAGATGAGTTCAGAGAGCTGAGAGTAGAATTTAGTCCCTGAGGTGGATTGGCTACCAGTCCTCTCCGGGACCAAAGTCTGCTGAGCCCTCCAGGTACAGAGCATGTTCTTTTTCCTCCCAACTAAATGTCAATTAAGAATATCCATATCTGTTATAGGAAGATGCACATAATTTCATCCCCACCTTGTTGATCAGTAAACTCTCTTATGTATAAGACAAGAACTTTCCCTTCTGTGTCTTGGGTTAAGTTCCTATATTTTAGCAATTCTGTTTTAATGCTGGCTTTCTCATTTGGGGTAAGAAGATTCCGGCTCACACAAAATAAAGGGGAAAATGCTTCACTTCCGTGAGAGTGTGGTTATGGGATTAAAGTCCCCATTCCAACCAGAGGAGAAAAGTTCAAGGCTTCTTTTCTCCCCTATCCCTTGCACTCCCATCCCAGGAAAGAGTAAAATTCAGGTCTTGTCTAGGTCTGATCTCCAAAAAGGAAGCCTTTGGGGCCTCAGACAATGAAACTTCTTAATGGCTGAGATCAATTTAGAGGGATGGCATATTGTAATCTCAGTTAACAGTATAATGCAAATATCTATCTATCTATCCATCCATCTATCTATCTATTGCAAGCTGTATAATACAAATATGTATATATATAGACATATACATGTGTAAACACACACATACACACATACACACAATGTCCCACATGTCTCAGTGCATTTTTCAGCTTTAACAGTTAGTAGCTATTAAAAAATTTAACAGTTAATTAAATTAAAAGCTAATTAGCAGACTCTAGGTGGCACAGTAGATAGAGTCAGACCTGGAATCAGGAAGACATGAGTTCAAATCTGTCCTGAGACACTTACTAGCTGTGTGACCCTGGGCAAGTCACTTCACCCTGTTTGCCTCAGTTCTACATCTGTAAAATGAGCTGAAGAAGGACGTGGCAAGCCACTCCAGTATGTCTGCCAAGAAAATCCCAAATGGGGCCATGAAGAGTCAGTCGTGACGGAACAACAGTAACAAAAACTTTTGAGATACCCTGCACAAGGTTGTGGAAGTACAGATTAGATATTTTCTCTTTCCTACAATGACTTAAAACTAGACTGGGTTCAAGTGACTAGGGTTTAGAATAACAAATCCTGGCTGAAAGATCTATGAGTTTCCAACCAGAATCTAATCTCCCTGAGGGCAGGGAATGTGTTATTTTTATTTCTATATCTCTACAGACTAGCACTGATGGTGCCTTGCTCCCTTGGTTAACTTCCTAGTAAGAGGATTGCTGAATTGAGTAGAATTCCTCTTCTGCAAATTGGTGATAAAAATACTTGCAACGTATGACTCAGAGGATTGTGAAGAAAGTAAGCCTTTCAAGTGTGATGCACATGTGTGATGCACATACAGAGTGTCCTAAAAATCTAGGTGCAGTTTTAGGTTGTTAAAACATAAAGCTTCACTCTGTAGGGTTGTGGTTATTATTTTATTATTATTACTGTCACACTCCCGGAGACTGATACTTCACCGGTCATGTGGCTAGTACGGAAGCCTCATTTAGGAAATCAAAGCACTGAGTAACTTTGGGATTACCTGACTTTTCCTTTAGGTCCACAGCTCTTAACTAACCTCAGAAGATTTGAAAAAGTCTAGCCATAATTAACTCCACGATTGAGATTAAATGAAAGTATCTGGGGAGGCTAGATCTGGAGAAGAGGACTGCAGAAGCATCCTTCATCTCAGGAGCCTCCTGGAGTAGTGACTGTCAGTCCTCTCTTCCCCTGGCAAAATACCTGGAAGCTCTTTCATTCCAACAATAATTATAAGAGATTCAGTCTATAAACTTCTCTCTACTGGCTATTACTCAGTCACATGGCTGGCATGTTCCTACCTCATGACCTTTTCTAGGCATGTCATATTCAGATTGAAATGAATCCTTGAGCTCCCCATAATGGTTTAGAAAACCACAAAGGGGAGCAGTTAGGTGGCACAGTAGATAGAGCCTTGGAGTCAGGAGAACCTGAGTTCAAATCCAGCCTCAGATATTTGAAACTTACTAGCTGTGTGACCCTGGGCAAGTCACTTAACCCCGATTGCCTCTCCAAAAAGCAAAAAACAAAACAAAACAAGAAACACCACAAATTAACATCATCTCTGTTATATTGTGTTGTTATTTATTTTGTTAAACATCTTTCATTTACATTTTAATCTGGATCTGGTTGCACTCAGTAATTTTGCAGTCCTCTTATATGAGTTTGACCCCTTTGCTCTAGTCCTTATAATTCAAAGCCTCCATCTCTGAAGCAAAATCCCTTTTTCCCACCACCTGGCCCTATGCTTTCATCTCTGTCCTGTTCAGCCCTCCCCTCCAATGCTCTCTCTCTTTTCCTACTAGATTCTCCAAAACCATTGCTCTTTTGTTAACAAGTTCCAACCTTAGCTGAAATCTGATTTTCTCCTACAGACAGCTTAGCCCTTGTTCCCATCTCCAAAACTGAGCATCCCTCTCATATCTCCTGACACTTTGGGCCAGGTAGAATAGTTGGCATATTTGGCATTCCCCACTGCTACTTCTAGATCTTCTCCACCTTAACCAGTATTGTTTAAAAAATGGGGCATCCTACCTGATGGCTTGGAGTCATTGTGATATTGATTTAAGAAAAACTTCCTAAAGCCTCCATGGACCATTGAGGCAATTGTATATTGATCCCTTGGCTTAAATTGAATGAATTACTGTAAGAGGCTGTCATGGAATTTTGTTCAGACTGCTTTCTGGGAAGTCTTTATAATACTTTATAAGTCTCCATTGTTCCTGGGAGGAATTCTAAGGAAACGGTGAGCCAGACCGTCTGGGGATGGCTTTTGCATATTGTCTTCCCATAATATTTCCCAGAATAAAACAATGGAGAAGGCCCTAGTCTAAGTCACACATGCTGAGCATACATACTGCATGTTGCCAGAATCAAAAGATAATTGAATGTAATAAAAATACATTACACTTGGAAATTCACTCTTTTTCCTCCCAGTAATGAAATACAATCCCACAGGAATAATCTGCCAGCCCTGAGCTCTCTGGAGATGTTCACTATTGAAATAGGTTGCAAACAGATTAAACAATTTTTGCAAAAAAAAAAAAAAAGATCCAAAATACAGTAGCTTGTACTACAGGCTAGTCCTTTATAAGGTAGAAGTTCTAAACACGCACATCTAATATTCTAATTTATATTATATTAACGTGGTGCTTGGCATTCTTACTTGCTGTCTTTCTTTCCCAAGTCTTATGATTGCATAGGGATAAGAAGCTCCTAGTGAAGAAACTGCCTTACCAAAACAACTTCTCTGCAACTTATGGTCACCTTATGGCCCAAGGCACCCCCCTGCTCCTCTCGCCAGCTCACAACCTTGTCTTTATCATCAACTCTTCACTCTCCTTCCTTCATCCCACACGTGCAATCGTTTGTCAAATCTCACTGTTTCTACCTCCACAACATTTGTTGAGTCTGATCCCTTCTTTCCATTCGTATAGCCGATTAACCAATAATCAACAAGCATTTCCTTGCTATATGTGCCAAGCTAGATGACAGAAATGCAAGGCAGAAGCCAAAACTACCTCTGCCCTTACATCTGAAAGGGGGAGACAAAAGAGCAGTTCCTATAAGGTAGATACAGAAGAGATAAAGGGTACCTTTACAGAGGTATTGGAGGGGTAACCAGAGAAGACCTCGTGGAGGGAGTAGTGATTGTGACGTTTTAAAGGAAGACAGGGATTCTAAGAAACAGGTTGGGAGGGAGAGCATTGGCGACTAGACACTGATCTTCTCTCAACTAGATCATTGAAATGGCCCCCTAATTGTGCTCCCTTATGCCAGTCTATCCTTGGTACAATTGCTAAAGTGATTTTCCTCAAGTGAAGATCTGACCACGTCACTTCTTACTTAATAGACTCCAGTGGATCCCTGTTACCTCCAGAATAAAATATCAACTACTCTGTTTGATTTTTAAAGCCCATCACAGCCTGGTCCCAATCTATCTTTTCCAGCCTTGATGTATTTCTTCCCCTTCTCATGTTCTGTGATCCAGCCAAACTGGCTTCTCTCCATTTCTCATAAATGGCACATTGTCTCGTCTCTTTGCACTGGCCATCCCCCATGTCCAGAATGCACTTCTTCCACCTCTGTCTCATAGAATCTCTTTCTTCCTTCACATCACTTCTCAAATACCACCTTCTATATGAAGCCTTTCCCAACCACTCCAACTGCTACTTCCCTCCCTCCCAAACCAATCTATATTTATTCTCTTTGTAGTCATTCTATAAATACTTATATATGTAGTTGTTGTCTATCCCATTAAAATGCAAGCTCCCTAAGAAGAGGAATTATTTCAGGTTTTTTAAATTTAAATTTAAATCTATAGCAACTAGCCTAGTTCCTGCTACATAGGAGTAGATACTTAATAAATGTTTGTTTGTGATGGGTAGGAGAGTTGCCTAGAGATACCCAGAGGAAGTGACTTTCCTAGAGCCGATTTGAACCGATGTTTTCCTGACTATCTCTATCTAGTAGGCCAAGGTGCCCCTTGATTCCATTAAGGGATAAGGACTAGATCTGTGATTTCATTAGTATAGGGAGTATACACACACACACACACACACACACACACACACGTATGTATACACACATATAATATACATGCACATTTATATATATTCATATGCAAATACATACACATACATATATGTGTGTATATATTTATATGTGTATGTGATACTCTCTCTCTCTCTCTCTCTCTCTCTCTCTCTCTCTCTGTCTCTCTGTCCTAATGCAGGTCAGCATCCTCTCTATAACTGATAACCTTGGAAAGCACTGAGAGGTTAAGTGACTTGAACCCAAGCTTTCTTGGTTTTCAGGCAAACTCTCTATGCACATCATTATCCTGTGAAACAGTGAGATTAGATTATTATGGCTTATATTTACATATAGCATTTAAGCTTCTCAAAGTGCTTTGCTTACAGAAACTCATTGAAGTATATGGTATAATCATTATTATCCTCATTTTATAGATGAGGAAACTAAGGTTCATAGAGATTAAATGATTTTCCTATCTAATTGCTGGAGTTGAGAAATGATACAAGGACCAATGCCATTTCATTATACACTCAATTAGAAATATTTCAAAGAGGCAGTTAGTGCAATGGATAATGTGTTGGGCATGGAATCAGAAAGACCTAAGTTTAAATTTGGTGTCAGACAGTTACTAGCTATGTGACTCTGGACAAGTCACTTAACCTCTGCCTGCTTCAGTCTCCTCATCTGCAAAATGGGGATAATAGTTATTGTAAAGATCAAATGGGATAATATCTATAAAGTGCTTACCACAGTTTCTGGCATGCAGTAGGTATTTGATAAATTTTTCCTTCCTTCCTTCCTTCCTTCCTTCCTTCCTTCCTTCCTTCCTTCCTTCCTTCCTTCCTTCCTTCCTCCTTCCTTCCTTCCTTCCTTCTTCCTTCCTTCCTTCCTTCCTTCTTCCTTTCTTTCCTTCCTTATCTGTCAATCTCCTTCAGTTGCACATTCTTTTTTGGAGAGGGGAAGAGAAAAAGGAAACCATATATTGGTATAGGGAACTATCAGTGGGAAAAATCCCCCATTAGTGCAAATCAATGTCTGTTTTGCACTTTATACTCTTAAGAGAGGTGCCTCGTGGCACTGAGAAGTCAAGTGACTTACTCCAAGTCATACAAACAGTATGTAGTCAGTGGCAGGATTTGAACCCAGGTCTTTCTGACTCTGAGGCCAACATTCTATTCACTACTCACATAGTAAATGTAGAATGACTGTTTACTTAATGATCACCTGAAATGAGTGTGTGTGTGTGTGTGTGTGTGTGTGTGTGTGTGTGTGTGTTAGACTTACCCTTTCACAAAAGTGTCTGAAGTACCTCCTGACTTCACTGCTGTCAAATTTTTGGCTTCTTTGATCAGCACTTCTAATTGTCCCCCAGAGAGCAAAGAAGGCTCTTTCTTCTTTCCCTTCTTAAGGGTCTTCTTTCCTATATCAACCATTACAAAAAAAGTATTTTTCAAAATTGCAAAAGAAAATATTCAGAGGTAAATATAGAACACACATATGTGTTTATAGATAGATCCTGATGAGTGAGAGTAATGAAACCTTCAAAGTGCCTGCATGAATTTGAATTCACACTTTTCAAAGTTAACAATTATTTAAAAGATGGTCACTGGTTCCAGTCCAATGGAAACATGCAGAGAAAATGCAAAGGAGGCAAAAGATTCACCACTTGAACTAATTAAGATTCAGCTGTATACATAGAGATAGATATAAGAGACCATCTTTATGCTTAGCAATGATTGCTGTCCTAAGCCTTCTAAAAACTGTGAATTTTTGTTTTAAGAAAATGGGAACAAAAACATTTCTGTCACTTCATGTAGTATCTAGGAGCAAATGATCTAGAACTGAAAGAGACTTCAGAAATCATGTAGTTCAAGCCCCTAGTTTTTTATATAAGGAAATTGAAGCACAGAGAGGTTAAGGGACTTAGCCAAGATCACACAGGTAGTACAAAATAGAGCCAGAACTCAAATTCTGCCCTTCTAACTCCATGGCCAGTGGCTTTTCCATTAAACCCAGCTAACCCTCATATTTGAAAGGGTGAGGATAATCCTAAAATGAGGGCCCAAGAGGAGGCAGGTAGGAATGGAATTAAAAATACGGGACAGCAGTTACCATGAAGGATGAGCAGATACATCCCTTCCTCAGACTGGAGAATAGTATGAAAGTATAGAAAATGGGAAAGTTTAGAAAACTTAGAGGGAAATAACAGCCATCCTCAAATACTCAATAGGCTGTGTCACAAACAGAGCTATTCCACCTTGTTCCAAAGGGCAGAACTGGATTAATTTCTATGTTCTTTTTTTAAAGTAATATTTTAATTTTCCCCCAATTACATGTTAAAACAATTCTTAACCTTTTTTTAAGTTTTGAAAAAATGCTCAAAATCACTATTGATCAGAGAAATGCAAATTACAACAACTATGAGGTAATGCTGCACACCTATCAATTGGCTAATATAACAAAAAAAAAGGAAAATAATAAATGTTAGTATACTGATGCATTGTTGGTAGAGTTACGAACTGATCCAACCAGTCTGGAGAGCTATTTGGAACTATGCCGAAAGGGCTATAAAACTGCACATGCTCTTTGATCTAGCTGTGTTCTTAAAGCTCAGGTCTGAGTATGTCATTACCCTGCTCAAGAAATTCTAAATAAATTCTTGCCTCTTGGATCAAATAAAAGCTTCTCTGACATTTAAAGCCTTTCACAACTTGGCTCCAACTTGACTTTTCAGAATTATACATTATCCTAAGGCCCAATCAAACTGGCCTTTTGGCTGCTGCTCATCCATGAGGAATCTCTCTCCTGTCCCTATGCCCTTTGCACAAACTCCTTCCTCGTTACTACTGCCTCACTGTCCCACCCCGAAATGACTCTGTATTTACTTCATACGTGTACATATACATTTTGTACGTACTTATATATACCTGTTGTTTCTACCAGTAAATTATAAGGTCCTTGAGGGGAGAGGCTGTTTTGTTTTTGTCTTTATACCTCTAGCACTTAGAATAATGACTGGTACAAAGGATATACTTAATAATTGCTTGCTGATGGACTGATAAGAAAACTTAATAAGGATCTAGCAGTAAGCATTTAGAAATACAGTAGGTGGCAAGCAGCCTTTCCCATTTACTGGAGAGTGAGCACCAACATGGCCTCATGCAGGAACCACAATGAATGTAATGAGATCAAATGCCAGAGTTTCTTATTTCCAATAAATACGGTCTAGTGCCTCCAGGGTCACTAAGGATCACTCATGGCTATGCACTGGGGTAATAGCAAGGCAGTAAACTTAATGGCAAAGATTGCTAGTCACGACAAAAAGGACTCAAATGCGGCACTTCACTAATTCACTAGAGAAAGTCTAAAACAAGAAATAGACCCAATCTTCAGGATCACCTCTTCATCTTCTGTGCTCATTGACAAAGAATTAAATGGCTATCCATTCATGCTTAAGGCTACCTCTCTTGAAAAGGTCTGTTACACCTAGATAAATCTATCACAGTGGAGTGAAAACTGAACCTGGAGACAGGAGACCTAGGTTCTAGTCTTGACTTTTTCTACTAGTCATTTTTTTTAGCAAGTCATTTGTTCTGAGTTCCTTCATTTGTAAAACAAAGGGATTGGAGCAGACTGTCTTTAAGGATTCATCTATCTTAAAAGTTCTTTGGATCCTCTTTTTTTCTGATAAAAAAATTACAAAAAATAGAAAAAATCCTTTTTTGGGTTTAGATTTATTTATTTTTATTATCAACATTCTTTTTAAAAAATTGAGTTTATAAAGCACCTACTATGTGCCAAGAACTATGCTAAGTGCTTATTGACTGACTGGTAACCAATAACCATCTCCAAGGTTGTAACCTGAGACAAATTACTCTTTAATGAGGGCAGTGGTAGAAATAGAATATCTGGAAGTATGGAAACAGGGAGGGTGGTTGCCTGTGCAAACTGAACCAGGAATCAGAAGGCCTGGGTTCTAGACTTGAATTCACTAATCTTGTATGTGACACTATGTTGACGCTGCTCCTCAGCACCCACTGAACATCCCTGAGTCACTGGCATGATCCAGATCAGATGGTTCTTGTAGCAGCTGAGGTTTCCCAAGCTCAAGTACACGGTTATTTGCTATAATCCAACAATGGATGTGGCAAAAGTTCACTATCACATTTTTGAAAAGGTCAAATGAGTTAAAAGGTCTGTCTTTTTCTCATACTAGTTATCTCCCCCAACTCTCCTCTACAAATGACTATAGTCATTTCATTATCCACACATCTTATCTGAATGATGCAGAAAACATTTGGAATAATCCTTGGAGTTTATCCGTAAGCTTTCAGAAAACAGCATAGCTGGTGAACGTAACCAAATTTGATCTCACCTTGACGCTCTTCCAGTGGGAGCATTAGGTTATTCTCAGGGGGAATGTAGCGTAAGACCACAGTCAGCTCTCCTTTGTATTGAAGCCCAATATCTGGTGCAAATTCCATCTGACACAGAAAGAAAAGGGATTTAGTGTTTCTCAGTTCCAGTTTTCAACTTGTTATCTTATGTTGGCTAATTATGATGTGTTTGGTTTGACTATATTGTCAATGCCCCTGTGGTGTGAGTGACATCTATTTTATATGAGTTAGGCTGATTTCTTTTTAAAGTGGCAAGATAGCCCTCTTTGGGATTTGAATGGTCTGGAGGATTAGGGCTTGAGCCATTAGAATGGCATCCTGGCTACCTGAGGCATAAAAACCCAACTTATGAGGATCTGGGGCTTCTTAGGAAGAGGAATTCCCACTACTCTGAAAGCCAATATACCTCTCTGATTAGGGTTTTGGTTTGCTGTTGTTGTTGGGGTTTTTTTTTTTTGGCTGTGACAGGTACAGAAAAAGAAAAGCCTTATGTAACTATATTATTGATCCTTTCTTATGGTTAAATAAACTTCTCTCTGTTAAATATTTTATGGCCAAATGTCTTCTTGCTTTTGAATCCTGAGACTGAACCACTGGACTGACTGAGATAGGCCTGGCCCAGAACATTTCCTTATTCAGTTATTTTGCCTCTAATGAGTTCAATAGATGACCTGGAGCAACAGCAAAAAGACTGGAAGATTTAATGAAGCAAACTATCCCCAAAGCAATGGGAGTTTTGTGGAAAGATACACTACACACAGAGACTGCACTATTCTATAAAGCCCGGACTTATCATTACCTGCCTATTATTGAGCCATGTGAGCAGCAGGAGAGGAAGATGCCTTACCCTTTCTAAGACAGAATAAGCTCGAAGAGTTTCTGAGCTAGAGCACAAAAATTTGACTAAGGTCATCAGCAGCACTTTATGAAAAGTGAATAATGAGAAATTATCCACAGCCTGACACCAAGGAGAAAGACTTTTCCAAAGACAGGCTTCCTGGTTTCATTCCTATGGGTAGCAATATACTCATTAATAAGGGGGGAAATAATTTAAAATGTTTTACTTATTCTTCACACCAAGGGCAAAAATGGAAATGTATGTGATTCTTAAAATTACAGAATCTTAAAATAACAAGAGCTGAAAGAGACCTTAGAGCATTTAGTTCAAACCTATGCCAGAATAAAAATCCCCAGACAACTGCACTTTGGAACCACCACTAACAGAGTATGGTATGGTGCAGTGTGGACGGGGCTCTGACCTTGGAGTCAGGAAGGCCAGTGCACAAATCCTGCCTCAGACATTTCCTAGCTTTGTGACTTTGGGCAAGTCACCTGACTTCTCAGTCTCAATTTTCTAATCTGTAAAATGAGGGTAATAATAGCATATGCTTCCCAGGGTTGTCATGAGGATCAGATGAAACGACATATGTAAAGCTCTTTGCAAACCCTAAAATACTATATAAATGATAGTAGGTGCAACTGAGACTCCTCCATGAATTTCAAAGGTTTTAAATGCTCTACTAGAGGGGATGGAACTCTGTCAGGTTCTCTGGGCTAAACAGGCTTCAAATGTAGTCCCAGCATAGACAACATTTGCTTTCTACCAGCCAGGATAACTAAGTACTCATCCCAATTACAGTGGCCAGTAGGTGATTCATTTTGTTGTTGTTGTTTTGCTAATGGCAACCCATGAAACAAAGAAAAATAGAAAACATTTCTTAGTCCTGTGTAGCTCTTTCCACTGGTGCAGTGACAGTGGCAGAGTAGGGGGAAAGGGAGGGAGAAGGTGTAAAGAACTACATATTATTATCATAAGTGACCCCCCACCAAATATCATGAATAGTTTTTTTTTTGTCCAAGAAGTAAACATAATGAATAGAGAGCCACCAAAAATAAAAGTCCTTTAATAAATAGATGAGAAATAACTGGGTTGCTGATCTGAGTTGTTAATTGTCTGCTTACAGGTAGAACATGCATTTGTTAGAGCAAAGGTCAATATCAATGTGAAATTAGAAAAAAGAATAAAGATGAGCAGAAAGCACGGTATCAGGGATGTGCTGATAAATATTTAATAACTGAGTCTCTGAAGAAAAGAAATGGACGCACAATATACTTTTAAGTTTGATCTGCGTGACTAGTATTTTCTCCATCACTTTCTTAAGTCTAGACAATCAACAAAACAATAAATCAAGCTCTGGTTTGTAGCAAGTGCTGATTGGCAGGAATAAATTCCCATAATGTAAATTTAACAATTGGCTCTCACCAGCTTGTTTGAGCTGTGTGGTGTGATCTTAAAATAATCTGACCTATTCAAGCAAACTACTGATTCTGAAAAAACGGGAAATGGATAAAGGAACATCGACATAGACCATCACCTTGCATCATTTTATATGAAAGTTTAAGAATTGTAGGATAATCACAACAACAGAAAACATGCCAGTGAGTTTGGTCTCTTTCCAAAGAGAAAGGCATAACAATTCTTATTCCCAGTTCATGCCAATCATGCACAGGAGAAGCCTGTGCTGGAGGTAACACAACTTTGGGGGCACTGAAAGAATAATTTTCAAGACGTGATAGAGAGGAAGATTTCAAATACCTGGAAAAATCACTACTGAAAGAAGCAATGAAGAAATCAATAACTATTGACTCATATGCCTACTTTAGCATCTCTACAGCATCTTTATAAGATTGATCTATACATATATCAAAAGCATCCTTGATAAAAACGGGAGAGGGGAACAGCCATTCTTTCCTATGTGATATTATACAGACAACATCTTTGCAGTCACACAAATGATTCAGTGGTTTAGAGAATATAGCGTCTTACTATGTTTATTGATTAATCAGCCAATCAGTAAACATTTATTGAGGGGTTACTATGTGCATTTGTTATAGTAGAACAAAATGAAGTCTTAAAGACTCTCTTCCAATAAGATATCTGCAATGCGTATGTTAAGGTTATACAATTTCAATCAATCATGTGTTAAGTTCCTTCTATGTGCCAGGCTCTGTACTAGATACCAGAGATTCAAAGACAATCCTTCAAGTAACTTACATTCTAAATGAGACAATATGTATCTGTCTCTATTTGTATAAACAAAATAAGTTCATAAATAAATGGTAAGTTTTTTGGGGAAAAGTACTAGCAGAATGAGAGGGGCTGTATAGACTTCATGTAAAATATGAATTCTTGAGCTGAACTGTGGTATATGAAATCTTTCTTCCTTTTTGAAGGAAACTTAGGTTTTTAGGAGGTGGAGGTATGAAGGAAAAGTATTCCAAGCATGGGGCCTTTTGACAGCCGTGTGCAGTGTGTATCAGAGAAGGGAGAGACCTAAGGTAGAGAGACCAATTAGGAGGTGATTGAAATAGTCCAGATGAGAGATAATGAAGGACAACATCAGGTGGTAGCCAGGGCAGTAGAAAGAAAGGGACCAATGGAAGAAATACTGTGGAGGTGGAAACATCTCTTGACAAACGTAACAACGATTGAGATTTCATTGTTTGATGATCCCCTGTTTATTAATATTTAATAAAGCAAACAAAGGGAGTCAGTCACTCATGCTCACCAAACATTTTTGACACCATTATGGAAGATATCTAGCACAGTCTATACAGAAGAGGAATTACTTATTGATGGTGAGGTCCTTTGGATATTCTTATTTGTACATGACATTGTGTTGATGGCAACAAGCTTCTGAATACTCCAAAGCCTCTTAAATGAGGTCCATACATAGCCAATGAAGGAACCTGTGTTACTTGAATATGCATATTTGTTATGACGATTTTGTTTTTCTTTCTGTTTCAGTGGGGGGGGAGGTGAAAAGAAGTTAATTTTCATTAACTGAAAAAAATTTAAAATTTAAAATGAAATTCATAGTTACTCAGAGGATTTAAAGGTTAGCCATTTACACTGGAAAATCCAAGTAGATGAAGAACATTTGTTATTCAGACCAGGTTATGCAGTTGGGTTGACATCTAGCACATATATCTTACATGTACATTTCAGATGGATAATAAACTGAACTAAGAATTGGACGAGAGAAAGAGAATGAGCTGGACTGCATTTGGGAAAGTGATCAGTGCTTTCAGTGGCATAATGTTTCTCCCTGAAACAAAAACTCATCTTTTAAAAATGATTTTCATCCAGGGATGCTCTCTGGTTGAATCTTAGAACTCTATCCACCCCCAAAATTAAAGTCAGTCAATGGAAAATGGAAGGATGTGGACTGGGAATACATAAGCTGTAGTGAAATGCCAATGATCACTGACACACCAAAACCATGTCAAAAATATCTGAGAAATGAATGACCAGAAAAAGAGGTAGCTGGTCGTGTAGTAAGATCAAGGGATAACAAACAGATGGACATCTGAGCAATGCATGATGCTCAAATCAGATCAAAAGATTCAGAGGAAGACTTCTGACATGATGAGCAGACACTTTGGGGAAGGTTTATAGGATCACAGAGAAGAGAGTAACAAAATTAGGGTGGGTTATGATTAGTGCCTTTGCAGGAAGTCTTACATAGATGAAACTTCAGATGCACTTAAGTATTTAATTATACAATTGTGAATTACTAGTATTTAATCATACAGGCTTTTCTTGTTTTCATGCCTGAGGAATTATTGACTACTTTATCAAAATTGAAGTGGTTTTTTTTTTGCTTTTAGGCAATTGGGGTTAAGTGACTTGCCCAGGGTCACACAGCTAGTAAGTGTCAAGTGTTTGGTCTGAGGCGGGATTTGAATTCAGGTCCTCCTGACTTCAGGGCCGGTGCTCTATCCACTGCGCCACCTAGCTGCCCCCAAAATTAAAGTGTTTCAATGAATTTTATCCATTTCTTTGCTCATAGGATAAGTTTTAAAGCCTGAAAGGCTCATTTGGTCTGACAACATTCTCATATAAGGAAATTAAGGTTAGATGTCCAGCTTCATTTAGGTAATTAAGTAGCATTCCTGATATTCAACCCTAAGTCTTCCAACTCTGAATCCAGTGTTCTTTCCCTTGACTTGACTTGCGTACGAAGTTTTCATTATACTCCACTTGAATTTGACACGGTTTTTTTTCTTCCATACCCAGACTATAG